TCCTCTCAGTAAGCATTTGAGAGGGTTTGGCGCTGTGTCCTTATTCCTGATGTTCAGAGGACAGCTTTCTTTGCAGCCCCTCCTCAGAAGGAGAAATCAAATATATGTGTTCCTCCTGCTGAAAACCTCTGCTGGCAGCCTGCAGCCTTCATAGTCAAGCTCCCTCTCTGCTGCCAGGGTCCAAGACTCTCCTGACATCCAGGCACTCCCTCAGCTGTCACGTGCCCTCCCCACATTGCACCCAACTTGCCTTCCTGCCTGGTGGCTGAACATCTCTTCAACCTCGACTGCCCTTTCCACGCCCCCTGTCTGGCTCATTCCTAATCACCCTTCGAGGTCCTGCCTAGGTGTCACCTCTGCTAGGAAGCTTTCCCAGACCTCCTCAGACAGCACAAAACTGAACTACCATGGTATATTAGTCTGTTCTCACACTGCTAATAAAGACATACCGAGATTGGGTAATTTACACAGAAAAAGAGGCTTAATGGACTCACAGTTCCACATGGCTGCAGAAGCCTCACAATCATGGTGGAAGGCAAAGGAGGAGCAAAGGCATGTCTTACAGGGCACCAGGCAAAAGGGCTTGTGCAGGGGAACTGCCCTTGATAAAACCATCAGCTCTCATTGGACATATTTACTACCGTGAGAACAGTATGTGGGAAACCACGTCCATGATTCAATTATCCCCACCTGGCCCTGCCCTTGACACGTGGAGATTTTTACAATTCAAGGTGAGATTTGGGTGGGGACACAGCCAAACCACATCACATGGCAAGGGCTCGGTCTTCAGAGTTGGCAATCCTGGCTCTGTCGCCTACCAGTCACACACCCTCAATAAGCTGCCTTGCCTCTCTAAGTGAGAGGTTTTAGATCCTCTAAAAATAATACCTACCTCATAGTGTTGTTGTGTGGACAAAAGGTAAAGCCCTTACTTACCATAGTGCCGGTTCATTGTAAGTGCTTGTCAGACACTAGCTGTGTGCACCTAGGTACCTGGCTTTTAGTCCTTGCCCAGCTATTGATATGCTGAGTGGACGCAGACAAGTCTGTCTTAGACTTGGTTTCCCTATTCTGTTAATGAAGCATCTTAAGCCTCAGAGGCCTGTGGATGGTTTGATGGGGAGTAAATTAATATGCTGCCCACAGTGGTGGGGCCTCTGGTTGTTTTTCAGAGAAGCTCCAGGCTGCCCACTAAAGAAGCCCAACTGCCACACCAACAGACCCTGCGGGGAGCTGGACGCTTTCCAGCCGCCTGAACCGCCACAGCTGACTTGATATGAGCAAACATAGGCTCAGGCTCTGATCTTGCCTGGCTTCCTGTGGCCAGTGCTCAGGACATGTTGTCATTTGGGTGCTGAGATGAACCTCTGGACCTTTCTTATTCTTCAAGGACAGATTCAACCCCCTCTTTCCCTTGAGACTGGCATCCTGTTAGAGAAGGCATGGCCCAAGGCAGGAGGCCAGGAACACACTCCTGAGGCATCCTGGACTCGTCATCTTTCTCATTCCCCCACCTTTCTGTCTCCCATCCCCCACCCATAGGAGGGCTGAAGACCCATGAGTTCTACCGGTAAATAGCCCTTGACCACCCCTTTTCTCTGCCCACTTGGTCCCAGCCCTTGGCATCCCTTTTATTGGGCTGTTGTAGTGAAAGGTCATGCTAGGTGAGATACCGTGGCTCATGCCTATAATTCCAGAGCTTTGGGAAGCCAAGGCAGGAGCATCTCTTGAGGCCAAGAGTTCAAGACCAGCCTGGGCAACACAGTGAGACCCTCATCTCTTTAAAAAAAAAAAAAAAAAAAAAAAAGGCTCAGCGTGGTGGGGCACACCTGTAATCCCAACTCCTTGGGAAGCTGAGGGAGGAGGATCATTTGATCCCAGGAGTTTGAGGTTGCAGTGAGCTATGATCATGCCAGTGCACTCAGCCTGGGTGACAGAATAAGACTCTGTCTCTAAAAATATATATACGTAGATACAGATTGTGGTAGATCCAGTTTCCAGGCTAAATTGCCCTTGATGATAGCCCACTGCCATGCTAAGCTCTCCATAATCCATCCCCTGCTCATCCTTCTTACCTCTTCTCCTCGCTCCTCACCCACCCTCTACTGTGGCCTCTCTGGCCTGTTGGACATTTGCTGGCTGAGCTGTACAGTTCACTTCCATGACTTTGTTCACATGCCCCCTCATCCTGGAATGTCCATTTTGTCCCCTCCTACCTCTGGAAATTCTTCTAGCCTCCATAGCTGGCCCAAAGTCCTCCTCCTCTGGGAAGGAAGGCTCCTCTGGTTCAGGGTCAGAATTAAGGATGCCCGAGGGCTCTCTCAGCTCCTGCTTGCACTGCAGTTGGAGAGAAAATCAGCGGAACGTGCCAGAGTTGAGAGCTAACAGTCCCTTGGGCAAGATTCCTGAGGAACACTGTTCCAGGAGCTCCTCAGTTGGTCCGGGTCAGAAATGTGATTGTCCTTGCTCTGGGAGACCCTCCTCAGAGCCCTCAGCCCAGCATTTCCTGCAGTGTCAGCCCTCCCTCCATGGTGTGAGGTGCTTCCTCCAGGTGACCCTGAGCTCCTCGTGTACTAGGATCCAGGTCTCTTCTCTGGGGGCTTAGCATCTGGCTCACAGTTTGGTCCAAAGCAGGTTTGCAGAGGCTGATGAGCGAACGATTATATGAGGCAATAAATAAATCAGAGCTCACCAGTCCCTTCAATGCCCATTTTCAGTTTTCTTTTTTTTCTTAAAAAATTTTTTTTTTTTACTTTAAGTCTTACTTTTGTTTTACTTACTAAAAAATTTTTTTTACTCTAAGTACCGGGATACACGTGCAGGTTTCTTACATAGGTATACACATGCCACGGTGGTTTGCTGCATCCATCAAACTGTCATCTAGGTTTTAAGCCGCCATTTGTCCTGATGCTCTCCCTCCCCATACCCCCCACCACCGACAGGCCCCAGTGTGTGATGTTCCCTTCCCTGTGTCCATGTGTTCTCACTGTTCAGCTCGCACTGATGAGTGAGAACGTGCAGTGTTTGGTTTTCTGTTCCTGTGCTAGTTTAGGCTTCTAGCTTCGTCCACGTCTCTGCAAAGGACATGATCTCATTCCTTCTTATGGCTGCCATTTTCAGTTTTCAAAACTCAGAAAACTGATATGTAAAACCAATTTTATTATTTTCAGTGAGGACATGTCTGTCTCCCTTGACAAGAGCCCTCCCATCAGGCAGATCCCAAGTCTCTCTTTCAGAATATGGGTTGCACACTTTCTGACCCTCAATCTCATGTTTTCTTTTTATTAAAAAGAAATTTTTCGAGACAGGGTCTTTGTTGCCCAGGCTTTTATTGAAAAATTTTTCGAGACAGGTCTTTGCTGTTCAGGTTGGATGCAGTGGCATGATCATGCCTCATTGCAGCCTCAACCTCCCAGGCGCAAACGCATCCTCCCACTCTCAGCCTTCTGAGAAGCACTACAAGCATGCACCACCATGCCCAGCTATTGTTTTTCCCTTTTTTTTTTTTTTTTTTTTTTTTTTTTTTTTTGAGATGGAGTCTCGCTCTGTTGCCTGGGCTGGAGTGCAGTGGCCGGATCTCAGCTCACTGCAAGCTCCGCCTCCGGGTTCACGCCATTCTCCTGCCTCAGCCTCCCGAGTAGCTGGGACTACAGGCGCCAGCCACCACGCCCGGCTAGTTTTTTGTATTTTTTAGTAGAGACGGGGTTTCACCGTGTTAGCCAGGATGGTCTCGATCTCCTGACCTCGTGATCCACCTGTCTCGGCCTCCCAAAGTGCTGGGATTACAGGCTTGAGACACCGCGCCCAGCCTGTTTTTCCCTATTTTTTGTAGAGACAGGTTCTCCCTATGTTGCCCAGGCTGGTCTCAAACTCCTGGGCTCAAGTGGGACACTTCCACCTCAGTGTCCCAAAGTGCTGGGATTGTAGGCGTGAGCCACTGCACCTGACAAGCTCACTTTTAAAATACCCCACAGAGACTCTGCCCTGGCCAAGGTATAATTACACTGGTAGCTGGAAAGGCTTCTGGGCTCGGGTACCATAGACTGTGTTTGGGTCCCAGTTCCAGCACTGACTTTGCTGTATGATTCCGAACAAGTCATTGCCCTCTCTGGGCCTCAGTTTTCTCATCCATCTAATGGAAATAATCATCCTTGCCTGCCTGGGCGGTGTGAAGCTGGAAAGATAAGCAGAGAAGCAGCTCATTCAGGCTCCAGGACCAAAATATAGTCCCTACTTCCAGAAAACTGGGCTATTTAGGCAGGCAGCTGGGCATAGAGTGGAGGGTGGGGAGTGGTGGGGTGGAGAGCAGGGTGGACAGACAGAAGACTGGTGAGGAGCCCTTCAAGCTGCTCTTTCTCCAGATCTTCTATTCTACAGCTCGGAGTTTCCTGTGGTGGCTTCCCACCGGTAGGATGCCAGATATCCTGTTTCGCGTGCTGTGTCACGTGGTTAAACCAGTAGAGCCTGCGGGGTTAACTGACCTGGGGGAGATGCTAAGGTTGCATCCAAGCCCAGTATCTCTGCCTTAGGTACCAAAGGGGTAGGAAGTGGCATATGTTTCACATATGTGCCATCCGTGAAGGCTAAACTCAGCTTGTCATTTAGTTCCCAGACATATCATCACTCCAAGGGGTGATGAGATTAGGATCCACAAGTCTGTCTTGGAGCAGTTAGCAGATTTCCTATGAGACACCCCAGAAACAGGCATGAAATCATGGAAGTAGATTCCTTTTCTCTTTGTTGATGTTTTTGTTTTGTTTTATTTTTTTGAGACAAGGTCTCACTCTGTCACTCAGGCTGGATAGAGTGCAGTGGTATGGTCACAGCTCACTGCAGCCTTGACCTCCTGGGTTCACACAATCCTCCCACCTCAGCCTCCCTAGTAGCTGGGACTATAGGTGTGCGCCACCATGCCTGACTAATTTTTGTATTTTTGGTAGAGACAGGGTTTCATCACCTCTTCTGTGTTAGAAGCCACCTAACATGGTAATGAGCTCCTGGTCATTGGAGGCATTCAAGCAGAGACTGAACAACTTGAAAGCAGGAGAGAAAATTCCTCTTCAGAAATGATGTGTAGATCCCATTTCAAAGGCTCCTTCCTGACCTTGTGAGCTAGGATTCAATTTTCATGTGCAGGGTTATCAGTGCCATTCTAGCCAGCCTTCCATGCTGGCCTGATTAGCCCACTCAGGGTCCAGGACAGGCATACTCATCGGACCAGTCGGAGCAGTGCTGTATGTGGTCGCGGCAGAGACGCCTCGGAATACAGTCGCAGTACTTGAAGAAGGTTGAAGGACAATGCCACCACCCAGGGCCACAGGGTGGGCACACAGTCACTGGGGAGACAAGAGCCAGCAGGAGAGCAGTTGCTGTGTCCTGGAATGCTCTGTGCACCAGGGCACTCCCTAGTTCTGAAACCTGCTCCCCACGGCCCCAACCTATCTAATACGGGTTGAGTGTGTTCCTAGTTTGCCTGCAGCAGAGAGAATCTAGACTCCACAGCTCACAGGCTATGTGACTTTGCTCACCCTGTCTGAACCTGTTTCCTAGTGTGCTCAAGCTTGTTATTAAGCAAAGGATGTCAGGCAAAGTCCCAGGCACATGGTAAAGCCTGTAATATGAATGGGTGCCCTCCTTACCCTAAGTCCAGCCACATTTACCTGCCATGACTCCCTGAGAGTGCTCCTAGCCTTCTCTCCTCTGCTCAGGCCTCTGGCATTCCTCCCCACACACCCAGCCTCTGCCTACTGAAACCTGTCTATTCTTGGTCTTCCTGAATGCTACCTCTTCTGAGAAGTCTCCCTTGATTCCTCCAGGTCCCCAGCATCTCCTTTTGGCATCAGCATGATGTAAGTCCTGGGGGTAGGACACATGCTTGATTCCTGATGTCCCCCACCTGAATCTGATACCAGGTGTGTTCTGAGAACCCCACCAGTGCTCAGAAAATGTTTGTTGATTGACACTGGGGAAGAGATTGAGAGGAAACTCTAGGGCAGCTTTAGGACTTGGGACTTGGATCAGGAGGCCTGGGTTCACACCTGAGCTCCCTTCCTGTCGTGCACTGTACTAATTTTCTCTTCTCAAAGCCTCAGTTTACTTACAAACAAATTGGGGCCAGTGATTCCTGCCCTGCTTTCCTCACAGGGTTATTGGGAGGTGCAGAGATGAGGGGACCCCAGGTTCAAATCCTAGCAGGGTCACGTATGTACTCCTTGCATGACCACCTTCTGGGACCCAGTTTTCTCATCTGTGCCCTTGAAGGCGACTTCCCCACTGCAGAAGAATGAGCCTCCAGAAAAAGTCACTTGGAGTGGTAGTGAGTACCCCACCACTGGATGTATTCAAGCAGGGGTAGAAAATTCCTTCCTAGGATGCAGAGAAGGCATGCAAAGGGGAGCCCTAGAGATTCCCTGGTCACCCTTTGCCCTCTGGCTGCTGCCCAGCCACCGGCTCCAGCCCAGCCTGTGCCCAGACCCCTACCTGGGCTCAGTTCATCCGAGCAGTCCCCACAGTTGTTAGTGCCATCACATTTTTGGTCTGAGTAGATCCAGGAGGCTGGGTCTCCACAGTGGGCCACGAGGAAGCGGGGGAGGCTCTGGGGCACATCTCCTGGGACAGAGGAGGCAGGAAGAAGTTCACATCTGGTCACAGCTGTCTGAGGGTTATCTGGAGAAGGATTGGCCGCCCTGGCAGTTGCCAAACTCAGGATCAGTGCCCATCCAGCCCATAAGGGTGCAAGCAGGTTTCCTGGGGAGGCAGCGGAGTCAGAGGGAGAGGAGAGCTCTGTCGCTGGACAGAGGCCCAGAGAGCTGCCCCTCCCTTCCTCAGTTCCTCCCCTGTCGTGGTGTGTTCCTGCCCCACACCACTGCTGATACTATGCCCCTCCACAAAGAGCCTCCTTAATACCTATCCAAAACCATTCCACTTTCAAGTTCAGGTTCAAGTTCCATCACCTCCAGGAAGCCTCCTCCAACTGGAACATCACAGGAATAAATGTGGAAGTCTTACAGTTGGGTCCCGGAGCTCAGGGGATGTAGGGTTCACACACCTTGTAAGGCAGAGTCTGAGGACCTTTCTTGAAAGTGTGTTCTGTTAGGCAGCAGTGTGATAGGGCTACCAAAAATTCACACAAACTCAGGCCACACCACTAGAGGTAGAAAACCTCGGGCAGGGAGGGAGCAAGCTCCTGTTCCTTAGACTGCCCAGACCCAGCCAGAAGCGCCGAGGATGTTTCTGAGGCCTGTCCAGGGAGGGGGACATGGGCAGTTGGTATTTATTCTGTGGAGCATTGATGGAGTGGGGAGGGCCAGGAACTCGGTCACAAGGGGGCTGACTGTGACCTAGAGAAGGGGATGCGGCCTAGACAAGAGAACCCACATGGGGGGCAAGGGAGTAATCTTCAAATCCATGCAGTGCCACGATGATGGGAGGGATTAAAGCATGGTCTATTGGGGCAGGGTTGACAGAAGGACAGAGTTGGAACCAATCAGGGAGGAACCACTCTGGGAGGCAGCTCTAAGTTTGGGACAAGGAAAACCTTCCCATGGAAAAACCTTCCAATCCTTGCATCCCAGGGGGTGCAAACGGAGGCTGGGTGGCCTCGGTTGGGCTTGCTAGAGAGGGGACTGGGGATGAGCTGGGGCAAGGACTAGATGTTTTTGAAATTGCTTCTCGTCTTGAGGATGCAATGACTCTCCCTCCATGAGCTCCCCTACCCCACCCACTGCACCTCTCCAGGCTCTCTCTCTCCTGTGGGGTCAGGCTCCTGTCTCGTGAGAACGTTCCGGTGTCTGAGGTCTGGGGCCAGGTCTTCCCATTCATTCATTTGCTCATTCATTCAGCAAGCCATTCTGAATACCCCTTTGTGCTAGGTGCTGGGGGCCCGATACCAAGCGGACTGGGCCTGCCTCAGAGGAGTTCACAGTCTGATGGGGGCAGCAGATGTGCCAATCGAGTGACAACCAGTGTGACGAGAGCTGCCACACAGGGAACCACAGGGACTGTGGAAGCCCAAGGAGACAATTTAACCTTGTGTGGGAGTCAGGGAAAGCTTCCTGGAGGAGGTAACACTTGAACTCTGCCTTGAGGGATGAATCCAGGTTCTCTGGGAGTGGAGATGCACAGGGTGAAGGCATTCCTTAGTGGGGGCATGTATGTCCCTGACTGGGACCAAGTCGGGGCAGGCGTTCCTGGCTGAAGGCACTGGAGCATCAAAACCATGGGGACGTGAAGGTGCCTGGTGTGTTCAGGGATGACTGAGCTTCAGTATGGCTGCAGAGAGAATTAGGGTGTGGGGGAACCTCTGGGAGGGACAGCACCGAGCGGGTACTCACGGCACAAGCTCTCATCCTCATCCTTGCCGTGGGTACAGGTGCGAACGCCATCACAGACCCCACTGGCTGGAATGCAGCTCCTCTGGTCATGGCACAAGAAGCCTGTCCTGTTTGTCAGTGTTATACAAGCTTGGGCTCCTGAATGGGTAGGGGAAGGCCCTGGAGGGTCAGGGGTGGTGCTCACAAGGACAAACCTTCCTCATCTGAACTCCACCTAGAGCTGGCCTGAGGGGCTAGAGCAGTGGGGAGGATGAACCCAGCGCCATCAATGGGGTTCAAGCCCCAGCTCTACCCACTGCCGGCTGCCTGATCTTGGGCAGATGACCTGACCACCTTGAGTCTCAGGTTGTCTGCAACATGGGGATCATAGCACACACCCCGTGGGACTGTTGTGGGGATTAAATAAAAGCATCTCTGTGAAGAAACATAGAACAGAAAATGTGCAGGACAAGTAATGGTTCTCTCCTGTATTGAAAACTTATTTACAGTGTCACGGGAAGCTTCTGAGGACAGTGTTCAATTCAGTGAAGTGGTTGTAATGGTGGAGCTCCTGGTATGAGGTTAGAGTGTCAGAAGCAATACACTTGGGCTGGCTGGAGGGCCATATGTCATAATTCCTTCTATCTGGGCACAACTGCAAAGCACTTTCATATCTTTATTCTATAGTTCCCCAAACACTCCTGAGACATGTCATCATTGGCCCCCCATACAGGAGGAGAAAAGGAATACCCACTCCTAGGGCTGCCACAAAGAATGAAAAGACGGAAACCTGCGGACAAGGTAGGGGAACCCCTTGGCCCCACATGTGTATACGTGTGCATAATTGGGGATGGGAGCCGGTTTGTGCATTTGTGTTTGTGCATGCGTGAACCACCTCTCAGTCCCTGGGCAGCCTCAGCTAGTGTGGGTGGGGGGACGGGGGAGCAACTCTCAGAGACACTCATGTTGACACAGACACACACACAGATGCAAACACACATGAACACATGCTCACACACAGACAGCTGCACCTACATGCACACTCACAGATACACAGACAACAGATGTGCACACATGCACTGACACACACATGCTCTCACACAGACATGAACACGCATACACAGACAGCTGCATATACTCATAGACACGCAAAACACACAGGTGCGTGCACGGACTCATGACTGCAGCTGCTCATGTATTCGCATCCACCTCAGGGCCTGTGTTCCTGCACAGGCAGCGGGAGAGCTGCGAATCTCAGCCCCTGGCCCTGGCTCAGCCCTCTACACCCATCCTGCCTGGCTGCAGAACCATCCTTCGGAAACATCCACCTGGTGACACTTACCCCCAACTTAATCTCCTGTCTGTGGCTCCTGGACTATGACCTCCCTTCTCGGTGCAGCCTGTGAGGCCGTTGGCCCCACTTGTCACTCTAGCCCTTCCTGCACACTGGCCTCTTGGAGTCTCTTCTTCTCTTCCTGCTTCCTCCCACCCCTCAGGGCTCCACACATGCTGTTCCCTGTTCCTGGGATGCTTTTCCTGGCATCCCCCCATTACTAATACCCATTGTGCCTACCCTGACTCCTCAACGGGGCTAGACTCTCAGGGATCCCAGGGACCCTGCTGTAATATGTATTCATGTCGAGACTGCTCTCAGAACAATTATTAGCTCCATGAGGGCAGGCACTGTCTTGGGGTTGTTCACCCCTGAAGCTGGGGCTGCAGTCATGTATGGGATGTGACCCTGTCCCCCGTGGTCGAGATGGACACACAGATGGATAGCACCACCCCAGAGTGGCCAGGCCAGGGGAAGAGGAAGTGTAGGGACTGTAGGGCTGAGAAGAGGCTTGTAACCCAGCCTGGGGGTCTAGGAAGGCATCCTGGAGGAGGTGACATCAGAGCTGGATCCTCTCGGTATCCATGTCACAGATGCGCAAATGGAGGCTCAGAGACTGGTACAGTCAGTGTGTGTGCAGGTGTCTGTGCGTGCACCTTAAGGAATTTGTCCAAAGTCACCTGGTAGAGAAGCCAGGCAGGTCGGAGCTCCCTCGTCTCTCTGTGCCTCCCCATGCCCTTCCCACCGGGTCCAACCCACCCTTTCTTGGCTGCCCTGACCTGGGGTGCGTGATGGGAGTCCAAGGATGGTGACCAAGGCGATGAGGGCGGCCAGAGTTGCCAGGAGGAACAGCAGAGAGGCAGAGAGGCAGGCCCCGCGACGCGAGCAGCAGAGGGGGCCGCAGCCTGCTGTGTGTGGGGGAAACAAGCCTGGGGGTGGTGGAGATGGGGGCCAGCACTGGGAACAGGGAGCCCCCTTCCCGCCATGCCCGCTGCAAGCAGCCCGTCCCCAACCAGGGTGAGCAGAGCAGGGATGGCTTCCCCGGAGGAGCAGCTCCCAAGCCCTCCGTGATGCTCTTTGTTCTGCCTGTGGGCCCACCCCACTAGATGCCACCCTGGCCGGGGGCCCACATATGACTGAATGGCAGAGGCAGACAGACTCCTCTCCCACCCACGATCAGGTGACCTCCTCAGGACACAGGGAGAGATGGACGCCTGTGTGTCCAGCCCCCACCTTGGGGCAGAAGCTCCATTAGGCCCTTCATAACCATGGTCTTTATTTTTCAAAACGAACTTTTATTTTATCAATGAGGGAACTAGGGCTCAAGAAGAAAAGATTCAGGTCACCCCGGGTAGAGCTGGCGTGTGAATCTACACCTGTTTGATGCCAAAACCCATGCCCTTTTCACTGTCCCAATTCGCTGTCCATTCTGGAGTCTGCCGGGACGCAGGTTGGAATCCCAGCTCTACCACATCCTATCTGGGCCACACTGAGTAAGCCACTTCACTTCCCCGTGCCTCAGATTCCTCGTGTGGAAAATGGGGACCACAGTAGCTACCTGCGAGTTTGTTGAGAGGATTAGAATTTGTTGAGATAATGTGTTAGAACAATGCTCAGCACATAGTAAATGGTGAGTATGAGCTATTATTATTGCTTTTTTAAAAATTATTATTTTTATATTTTAGGGATAGGGTCTGGCTCTGTTGCCCATGCTGCAGTGCAGTGGTGTGATCGTAGTTCACTGCACCCTGTAAGTCCTAGGCTCCTCCTGCCTCAGCCTCCCAAAGTGCTGGGACAACAGGCGCATACCACCGTGTCTGGTCTGTTATTGCTTGTTGAGGACTTACCATGTGCCGCGCCTTATTCTAAGCACTATGGAGATAGCAGTGACAGGGGACCTCCCTACTCTTGTAGAACTGCACTTTAATTCTCCTTTAATTCTCTTCTGCTTACAAAATAATAAAAGAAGGCTTTACTGAGGACCTCCTGGGTGCCCTGCTGTGCAGCTTGCTCTGGTCCTTGTCCTCTGCAGCTTGTTATTGCACTTGGAAGGCAAGGCATGGACATGTCTGAAGGAGCATGGGAGCTACTGACCTGCCCAGGCCACAAGTACCTCAGAGAAAGGGGGCAGGAGCAGGTGTGATTCATCCCTGTGACCCCAGAACCCAGCCCAGAGCCAGGCATGTGGTGGGGGCTTTTGTTTTTTGTGTTTTTTTTGAGACGGAGTCTCACTCTATTGCCCAGGCTGAAGTGCAGTTGCATGATCTCGACTCACTGCAACCTCTGCCTCCCGGGTTCAAGCAATTCTCCTGCCTCAGCCTCCCAAGTAACTGTGATGACAGGTGTCCACCACCATGCCTAGCTAATTTTTATATTTTTAGTAGAGACGGGGTTTCACCATGTTGTCCAGGCTGGTCTTGAACTCCTGACCTCAGGTGATCCGCCCGCCTTGGCCTCCCAAAGTGCTGGGATTATAGGTGTGAACCACCGCGCTGGGCCTGGGGCTTTGTGAACACTGTGAATACGCTGACCCAGGGGCCCAGGAGACAAGAGAAGGTCCCCAGTATGGGTCAGTCCAGGTTATTTCCAATCCATTCACATTTCCAATGCAGTGTCCTCAGAAGCAAAGTGGGATTTCCACAGGCAGGTAAGGGGAGGGTGCAAAGAGAGGGCATTCCAGGCAGAGGGTGTGGCAGGAATAAAGGCCTGGTGGTTGCAGGTGGCCTGGGGTGGTGGGACTCCAGGATGGATGTGCATTGGGAGGGGAGACAATAGCAGGAGAGGCAGCATAAATCTAAAACCTGTCATCCCTACAGCCCTAGCTGGTGGCTCTTTGGCCATCAGCAACCTGGGTAAACTCAGGTAACCAGGGAGGCAGCGTGACTCTGGGCAGGGAGAGGTGTCCTGATCAGCCAAGCAGCTCCTCAAATATTTGTGCAGCACAGGCCATGTGCAAGGTGGGGCAACGGGAGAACCCGCGGAACCAAGGCTCCTGCCCAGGTGAAGCTGTTGCACTTCAAAGCCAGAAAGCCCTTAGGTGCCAGTCCCCTTCCTGGACCGATGAGGAAAAGGAGGCGATTCTTTCCACAACCGCACCCATCATGAGTCAGGACTTGGAAATAAACAGACACCAGCTTGGAGCAACAGAAGCCCTGGGGCTTTGTAACCAGAGACACCTCAGTTCACGTTTGAACCCTGGCCCTCCAACCTCCCGGCTGTGTGACCTTGGCCCGGTTACCCAACTTCTCTTCGTTTCAGCTGCCTCATCTGTTATTGCCCCATGACAGCGTCCCTGTCTCAGAGCTGTGCTGAGGAGTAAAGGGATCGTGCAGCACCAGGCACATAACGGGTGGGATTCTTTACAGCTGGTATTTTGATCTGCCTCTCTCAGTGTGTTTCCTCATTGATCAAATGTGGGCCAAGCCAAGGCATATACAAAGCTCAGTACGTGTGTGTTTCTTCCTTCTTCTGTTTTCAGAAGGGTAAAGAGAACTGTCCTGGTCACACTGTGGGCCAGTGGTACATAGTAGGGCTAAATAAAATGTGTCACTTTATCCCTCAAAGGTAAAGAGAATTGCCCAGGTCACCCAGTGAGTCAGGAATTTGGTGCTGGTTCTTTTCCCTGTGTTAGAGGAGAGCACTGTATGCAGTTTGATGCCTGTGAGGTAGGCAGCACACAGTAGGTGCTTAATACATGTATGTGCATGGAGAGAATGAATAACCCTATTAAGCAAGTGACTGTCAGCGTGGCTGGCCAGGAAGCTGGGAGCAGACATTAACCTGGAGGCAGAGGTCTGAGGGAAAGCGGGAGCCTCGAAGCCTCCTCATGCCTCTATAGCCAACTGCCAGCTTCAGAGGAGCCCCACAGGGCACGGGTCCCAGGCCCTCCGGTTCTTTACCTTCCCCTCCAGGGTGGGCTTTGGGTCCAGCAGCAGCGTAGTCATTCTCTCCCTGCCCAAGAGAACAGAGTGAGGGGTGGGCTTAGGTGAGGTGAGCTCCAGCCTCAGGGAGGCAGACAACAGGGTTTTCAGAGGGGTCACTGAGAGAGTCTTAGGTGGAACCACGGGTCCCTCACACCCCAGCATGCTTACGCCCCAGATGCTTCATGCCCGCTTCCTCTCTCCACACCTTTGCCTGTGCTGTGCCCTCTGCCTGGAATGCCTTTTTCTCTGCTGTCCCCTGACAAATATTCATCCTTCAAACCGGCTTGGGCAGCAACTCCTGGATGAGGCTTTCCCTGATATCCTCCTCCCCAGTAAAGCTGGCCGCTCTCCCCTCCCATCCACCCGGCTCCTCTGTTTCCATACCAGCACTTGCCACCTGGACTGTATAGCTGTGTCACTGGTAGGGTCCCCTACACCCTGGGAGTGAGCCCCGGGGCAGGCCAGGGGCTGATTTTCCTCCGTGTCTCCCATGTATGCCCACTCTGTACTGCCCACTCCTCATCCCAAGCTTTGCTCTCCCGAGACCAGGAGCCTGGTCAGGGCAACTCTTACCTGGGGACAGCTCTCACCTGGGGACAGCTCTCACCTGGGGGAAGACCTTGTTCATGTCTTCAGCTTCCAGCTCCCTGGCCAGGGCTGTGTGCAGAGAGCTCAGCATGGGTTCCCCAGGGCCAATCTGGAGGAGGAACAGGCGGGACACCTTGCCCAGGCCACACCCTCCCTGTGGGCAGTCCCCTGCCAGCTGCCTTCCAAGCAGAGGCAAGGAAAGGAGGGCCCCGCTCCGGCCAGGCTATTCCCTCATCTGCCATCTGACAGCAACATTGCGAGGCTGGAATCTTCATCCCCGTTCCACAGATGAAGAGTCAGAGGTTCAGAGAGGGAGAAACGGCCCCAAGTGTCACAGTACATAGGAGGAGTAAAACCCAGAAACTTTTCAGGAAGTGCATTGTCCTCCACATCAGTGATGGAACTGGAGGAGCTCAGGTTCCAGGGCTATGAAGATGCAGGCAGAAACTCCCAGAATTAACGTTTCTGTGGCTAGAAAGTAGGGGTCATTTTCTCATTGATGTTCTTCTGTTCAACTACATAGGTAACCTAGATTGAAAGAATATGCATTTCCCACTAAAATTATAAAGCAAATGTAATTTTAAATTATTTCACTTAGAAACGTGGCAATGTGAATTTTTACTGTCCCTGAGGTGGTGCCTGAGGTAGGGAAGAGGTGGGAGGTTGGTTGCTTGCCTGAACAACCCCTTCTATGCCCCCAGGGAGTGGGTTTCCCTAGCAGCCTGTCCCACTGCTGAGCAAACCAAGGCCCTGGAATCTTGAGGGACAGGTCCAAGGACCCGGTCCAAGGGAGGGGAGGTGTCTACCTCCAGAAATGAGCTCAGGAGTTCTTGCACCTGCCTCTGATGCCCATAGATTTTCCAACCTGCAATCAGCCTTTTCTTTTGCATTGGAAAATAAAATGATGAATCCACATGGGGCCAAGTGGGAGGCACAGACACAGGGGCAGCCCTTGGGAGGCAGCAAGTAACACTCTGAAGAGCTGAGCCCTAGGCCAGGAGAACGGGGCTCTCATTAGGGCCCTACCACTGGCTCTGACGGGCTGCTCACTCCCCTTCCCTGTGCCTCAGTTCCTTCATCCAGAAAATAAGGATGTAAACTAGATGAAGGGGGTGTTTTAGTTTAAGGATACCCAGAATCAGACTCTAAGACAAGATGTGAGGGCAAATAGATTTAATTGGGAGTCATCCCAGGAAACGCTGGTCGTGGGATGAGGGAAATGAGACAGGCAAGAGAAGGATCCAATAACAGGTGTGTTATGAAGCAGGTTCCCGCTGTGGGCAAGTGGAATTTAGCCCTGCTGGGGCACTCGGGGAAGCCAGGGGAGAAGATGCACCTCAGAGTTATCCCACTCAAGGTTGGGGGAACTGGGGTATTAATCTGCCAGCTTCTACCAGTCCTGGTTGAGAACGGCCAGAGGAGGCCAGGCATGATGGCTCATCCCAGCACTTTGGGAGGCAGAGGCGGGTGGATCACCTGAGGTCAGGAGTTCAAGACCAGCCTGGTCAACATGGTAAAACCCTGTCTCTACTAAAAATATAAAAAATTAGCTGGGCATAGTGGTGAGCACCTGTCATCCCAGCTACACGGGAGGCTGAGGAAGGAGAATCGCTTGAACCCGGGAGGCGGAGGTTGCAGTGAGCCAAGATTGCGCCTTTGCACTCCAGCCTGGGCAACAAGAGCGAAACTTCGTCTCAAAAAAAAAAAAAAAAAAAAAGAGACTAGCCAAAGGGTGTTAATTGCTTGCACCTCTGGGCTGCCTTAGGCAAAGAGATGCCAGTGTTGGCAACTTGGCAACTGCATGCTAGGCTAATATGTCCTGAAATGGAAAGGGTTGATAGCATGGGCAGGGCACCCATGGTCCCTGCTAAAGACACTAACTAGATTTTATATGGCATGCCAACTGCAACTGATGGGAAAAGGCTCTCTGGAACGTGGGTTCAGGACTGTGATTGACCAGTGATGCCTGCTGTGGGTGTAAGAGTGGAGAGGGGTATCAGACATGATGACCATTTGCCATTCCTGAACCTATTAATGCCCTTCAGCCTCTGGCCTTCCTTGACTCTGTGATTCTTAAGTGTTCCTCTAAAAAAAGACTCCTCGGGGCTTTGAAATGCCCTTTTGTCTGCTGAGTCCGGATACAGCCACATATGATTGTGCTGAAAGCACTGTGCTCTCCAGGGCTCAGGCTGTCACCAAGAACCCTTGGGGGAAAGGCAGCAAGGGGCCTGGTGACATGAAGGAGAGGCCCTGGTGCCTCAATTCTTGAACTTCCTGGAATCAGGAAGTTCCAATTCACAGTCTCACTCCAATTCACAGTCTCACTCTCAAGGGGAGGGCACGGATGGAATGGAGGCAGATATTATTTACTGAGCAGCTACTATGCTCCAGGCACTACACCACCGCCTTACACACGCCCTCTCCCTTGATCTTCACAACAACTCTGTAAGATAGGTAATATTATTACACCCACTTGACAGATGTGGAAACTGGGTTCAGAGAGGTTAAGTAACTTGCCAAAGCCACACAGTGAGTAAACAGCAGAGCAGAGATTTTAACCCAGGTCAGTTTTGACTCCAAGCCTGTGGACCTGTGGAGTTGATTCGCACTCCCTCCCTTGTGGATGAGAATTTCTAATGATCACATGTCCATCAACACTTAGTACCATCAGACTTTTTGGCTTCCACCAGCCTGACAACTGTGAAAATACCATCAGTGGCTCACCACTGTCAGGATTTGCAGTCCTCTTTTGCTTAACCTCAGACGTGTCTCATTCTAAAGCAGGGAGAGGCTGGGCCCTGTGGCTCGCACCTGTAATCCCAGCACTTTGGGAGGCCAAATTGGGCAGATCACTTGAGATCAGAAGTTTGAGACCAGCCTGGCCAACATGGTGAAACCCCATCTCTACTAAAAATACAAAAACTAGCTGGGCAGAGTGGTGCATGCCTGTAATCCCAGCTACTTGGGAGGCTGAAATGGGAGAATCGCTTGAACGAATGGAAGGCAGAGGTTGCAGTGAGCCGAGATTGTGCCACTGCACTCCAGCCTGGGTGACAGAGTGAGACTCTGTCTCAAAATAAATAAATAAATAAATAAATAAATAAATAAAGCAGGGAGAATGGTGAGTGATGGATGCAGAGTTCTAGCAGCAGCTTAAGGTGGTGCCCATATGAGGGTTAGAGGAGGAAATTGAAAAGAGTGGAAACAGGGCTGCCAAAGTCCCTCAGGGAAACTCAGAACTTTGATCAGCAGAGTCAAAGGAACCTGAGGCTCGGAAAGCACAACGGCCTCATTTTACAGAAGGGGGATCTAACGCCTGGAAAGAAGAGGGAACTTGCACAAGGCCATACCATGGTCAGTGCCCTAGCACAGCGAGCACTCCTTTCACAGTAGCAGATGGCCTCAGGAACATTGGCATGTGCAGCCTCAATTTTTTTTTTTTTTTTTTTTTTGAGATGGAGTCTCACTCTGTCGCCCAGGCTGGAGTGCAGTGGCACGATCTTGGCTCACTGCAAACTCTGCCTCCCAGGTTCATGCCATTCTCCTGCCTCAGCTTCCGAGCAGCTGGGACTACAGGCGCCCGCCGCCACGCCAGACTAATTTTTTGTATTTTTAGTAAAGACAGGGTTTCACTGTGTTAGGATGGTCTCGATCTCCTGACCTCGTGATTTGCCCATCTCGGCCTCCCAAAGTTCTGGGATTACAGGTGTGAGCCACCATGCCCTGCCCAGCCTCAATTATTTTTAGCCTCACTGTCCCTCTTGCCTAGGGTAGAGGCCCCAGGCTGCCAACCTCCTGTGTCCCAGCAGTTGCTCCTGAAGGGCACGGTTCAGATGCTGGGCCCACGTTGTCCCCTCCTTTAGCTCTCTTTCTGGTTAGTTAGAACTGATGGCAGGGGCTTTCACCGCCTGTTCTTGTCCTAGTGGGAGGCAGTTGTTGGGATAGTTATATCATGAAGATTAATGGCTTGGGCTGTAGTAAATGACTTCCACTTCCACCCTGCTGGGCCCTTGGCCTTGACTGGGACCCCTGGGCCAGGGCCGAGTAAACTTCTAGCAAGAGCATACGTTTTGGAGCTGATAGTCCAAATGGTCTCACCACTAGCTGAGCGATCTTGGCGGGGTCACTTAACCTCTCTGAGCTTCAACTTTTCCATCCTGAGTAGCTGGGACTATAGGTGTGCACACCACACCCAGCTAATTTTTCTTTTTCTTTTCCTTTTTTTGGTATTTTAGTAGAGATAGGAGTATCACCATGTTGGCCAGGATGGTCTTGATTTCCCGACCTTGTGATCCGCCTACCTCGGTCTCCCAAAGTGCTGGGATTACAGGCGTGAGCCACTGTGCCTGGCCTGTGGTTTTGATTTGCATTTCTCTAATGATCAGCGATGTTGAGCTTTTATTCATATGCTTGTTGGCGGCATGTATATATTCTTTTGAGAAGTGTCTGTTCAAGTCCATTGCCCACTTTTTAATGGGGTTGTTTTTTTCTTGTAAATTTGTTTCAGTTCCTTTGGATGCTAGATATTAGACCTTTGTCAGATGCATAGTTTGCAAATATTTTCTCCCATTCTGAATGTTGTCTGTTTACTCTGTTGACAGTTTCTTTTGCTGTGCAGAATCTCTTTGGTTTAATTAGATCCCATTGATCAATTTTTGCTTTTGGTGTTTTCATCATGAAATCTTTGCCTGTGCCTGTGTCCTGAATGGCATTGCTTAAGCTGTCTTCCAGGGTTTTTGTAGTTTTGGGTTTTATATTTAAGTCTTTGATCCACTAGATGGATGTTATAAGAATCCATTTAAGGCGATAGGTAAGAGTGCTACAAAGGGCTTTGCAAATGTCATGGGGAATCAACAAACAAACCCCATATTGTGAATTACCTATTTAGACACTTTTACAAGATGGCATTATTTTTTAATGCAGATGATCCAAGTTTTATTGAAGTTTACATACTTAAGCATAAATAAATTAACAGATTTGTAGCTCCAATAATGGTGGCATGATATACACCTGGAGGTAACATTATCAACAGCTTTTGTTGAAACCTTTCATTTTCAATCAGGTGCTGATTTTTCTTCCACCCAAGTCTTCAATTATTGCTGTTCTAACACTGCAAAAACAATTCAAGCATAAAAAAGCACACAAGAGGCAGTAAAATAAGCTGAAATAATTTAAAATTGAACAAGAAAACAAAATAATTTACTCTTAAAATGACAAAAGTAAAATTAACCTCT